ACTTGACACCAGCAAGAAATATGCTGAAATTGGTAAGTAAGTAAGTGTTGGAATTTTTATGGAAAAACAAAGATTTTATAGGTTTACGACTGTAGTTTGGAAGCCTCAGCCCTGAAATATGCTAGTCACTGTCCTTTAGTCAGATCTCAAGAAAGCACAAGAACAACACAAGGAGAAAATTTTCTCCGACTTGCAAAATTTGGAAATCCAACCTTTGTAGATGCAGTTAACAAGGTGCGACAGAGCAAAAAGCAATTAATATCACAAGTTTTTCGTCAATTTTTCATTTTCAGACGATCATCACGTGGTGGAAAATTTTTGAGGAAATTACGGATATTGAAACTAGTAGAATATTCCAACCACATCACCTTCGCACTCCTATGACGTCTTTTACTCAAGTAATGCATAGTAAACTTTACCCAAAATCGTAATCACGCTGGAGCTTCAAAAAATTGGAACTCAAAAAAAGGCAAAAAGTTATACTCCTTTCGAAGACCTATAGTCGTTGTTTAGATGGCATGGGCTAGGACAAGATACTTGGGATGTTCCATTGTTGATTGCCGCTCGTTCTATATATCCGTCTGCAGATACTCGCCCAAGTAAGTTTACCTGTCTTCTATGCTGTAATAACAGTCACTTTGTTTAAGGGGAAACATTGTCAACGAGACAGTTTATGAGGCTGGCCGTCCTTGCACTGAATGTAATCCAGGAACAGCATGTGAGGATGAGTTGGGGCTCTGCGCTTGAATAAGTTCAGCAGACGTTCATCTTACTTGTCTGCGTATTAGCAACAACTCTTTGAATAAATACCGCAAGCGCTTGCAATTAATTGTACGTTGCTCTGGAGAATAGAGGAATTTATTTTCTTTTGTTTACAACATTTATTCATTCAACAACAATCAGTCTATCAAATCATTGTAAACATCTGTAATTCTCATAACTTCCATTTCTCTGACGGTACTTGGATGACTTTTCCCAGTCAACGAGGTCTTCATTGGACAAAGATTACCTGACCGAATCAAATCTACGAAGGCCCTATGTAACCTGTGTGAAATATTGCAGGGCTGCTGTTAGGAGCATCTTTCCCAAATGGAATTAACTTACTTAACAAAAAAAGAGAGAGAGAGCATTTCGATCGTATTACAGTGTTTTTATTTGAGTCAACGGGACAATGAAATGTCTAACAGAAGAGGAAAATTATAGAAGACAAAAAGTGCTTGCTTACTGGAGGTCGTCGTTATAGATTAGATACCGTGGCTCTCGTCACCATCACTATTGAAGCGAGGAATAGGTGTAACCTTCTAAGAGCTTGGAAAATTGTGTTCAAGATGAGGGCTCGACACTGACTTTTCTTACCTTAATTGGCAGGAATACTTGAAAAAGTGTAAAGAAAATTGCATATTGCTTTAATGAAAACAAATGGGAGTTAAATCAAAGAAAGGCGCCTCCGTTTTTATTTGAAAAACTGAATTAGAGAGATAGATGCGGAGTTTTCTTCTACACAGAATATAAATATCTGATGCCATAGGCTGATCTTTTGGGAAATTAGAAAATGATCTTTGCTAGACCCAAAGAATGTAAAGAAGATAGTACGAGATCCGTGATAGTTGCGAAGAACAGACGTTTGTTGCCTTAAAATAGTGAAAAGGGAAATGAATAACCCGTTACGATAACTTTTACACGCGTTACGCAATTGACAGCCAATCTCAGTCGATCCATAGCACAATGATATAAAGAGGTTTGTGGTTTCGTTGAGTTTGAGTCGGATAGCCAATCAGAGAAAAATGCCACGTAGGCTCCTGATCTCCGCCACCTCCTGCAATTGCACATTCCCACGCAATCAAACGTCTTCCATGGGAATTCCGTTCTATTAGAAATTCTCTCCGTAACAAC